GCTGACGCTACAATATACTTAGTTAATTGAGTTAAGTGAGCGGTAGTGACCATAAGTAAAGTACGTGAATCGTTGTGAATTATAGCGTGTGTTTAAGTTAAAATTACTGTAGAAATTAAGTGTATTTCAAAGTTGTATTGAGAAAGAATAAACTAGTTTTATTTAAGAAAGGACTTGTATCGCTGAAGTTTCTCGGAAAGAATTTTTACAGGAAATTAACAAACGACCAGAGACATAACAGTATATTGAATGTTGTTAGAAAGAGTAATAAAAATTGTTGTAACTGTTTAATGCTGGTCTGGAACTCTGTTTCTTTATTCTAACTGTGAATCACCTCGAGTTAGCGACTTGTGGCTCCACTCGTCACGACAAATCCTCCAAATAAATAAATTTGGTGTAACGAGTAGTTTTAATTGAAACTACAACAATTAAGCCCACGAGGGTGCTACCCATTACACTGTCCTAATTGGGATCTTATTTTTAAGGAGTTCTTTAAAATGTTAAATTAGAGAGAGAAGGGGGCCTGTGCTGGCTCTCTAAGCTCCTGGTCTCAGGTTGGTCAAATATTACCGAAAAACAAAGATATATTTCAAGGTATGTATAACCTTAACCCTACTATAGTTCTTTCTCAAACTGTTAGAATACCATTTGAACAGTTGCATTTTTTCTTGTCCGTGTGATTTCAATGAGATAATCTAAGAGCCATATTGGCACATATTACATGTTCCTCTGATAAACGCATTTGAAGGCACAATTCTTTTTAATATGTTCCATTCTCAGTTGGAGTTAGAAAATATAAGAATGCATCAAGTGAAAATACTTTCCCCTTAAAACCAGAAATACACTTTCATGCCTTTCAATTCCAATCAGCAATGCTATTGTTGAAAGGATCTTTTCCTTAATGACCAAAAAAAGAAACGAGATGAATTTCAAAATGCTTGACTCAGTCTTTCACATTATGACCACTCTCTCATTTAATGTAAAATGCTGTAAGAATTTCATTGTTTCAAAGTTCTCCTTGTGGGTCTAATTGTATGTGATATGATTTATGTTTTAGCCTAAAAATATATGGCATTTGTATGCAAATAATTTTCCTTCTGTTACGTCTCTGGTCGTCTGTTAATTACTCGTATAAATTCTTTCCAAAGAACTTCAGTGATACAAATCCTTTCTCAAATAAAACTAGTTTATTCTTTCTCAATTCAACTTTGCAATACACTTAATTTCCACAGTCCCTTTAACTTAAACACACACTATAATTTACAATGAACGATCCACGCACTTTACTTACCATCGTGCTTGACTCAATTGTCCGTCTATATCTTCAATCTCTCTGTCTGCTATACAGTTATTGCCGTCACTTTATTTACCAGCTTATATACTCAAATAGAGGGCGCCTAGCAAATACTGGATTATTCGTGATGTTCCCCGATCCTTCTAGAAACTCATTACGTGTTACCAGTTTCACGTGACTTCCGCTGTCGTAACACTGCCCCTTCCTTAGTATTGTTCATCCCGAAAATAGCCACTTAAGTTAAACCAATAGATAATTAACAGTAAATTAAATGTACATGATTTACAAACACAAAATTAAAATTCAACAAAGTCTCTTAATTTTACGGGACGTATCTTCTTCCGAATACTATCTTCAAGCTTCAACTGGTCCCATTGTGCCCAATAGTTCTTTGTCACAGGGCTTAAACTAGACACCTTCTCCCAAGCAGGGCGCAAAACACTTGCTTTTAGAAAATCAATTATTGGCTTCAAATCTTGATCTTTCTTCTGCTCTGCTTTAATATCTATACATGGTTCCATTTCACCATCATCAACTCCTTCAGTCACTTTGACTTTAGCTTGATGACACTTGGTTAGCTCAACCTCTTTTTTGCAGCTATGTCTGTAGTCATTTTTGTAGGGTCTTCGGCTCAATCCATCGGCATTTTCATGAGATGCATTCTCTGTATTCAATATCATAATTATACTGGTCCATCTTTCCGATCCAATGTGCCAGTTGTCTCTCTGGGTTCTGTAATGATCTTAACCAGCGTAATGCAGCATGGTCTGTCCTGATGGTAAACCTGGCACCATAGAGGAAAAGAT